CCGCCAGCCGCCCTCAGGTCACCCGAGCGCGAGTCCGTGCATCCCTTCCGCCAGTAGCTACAGGATTTGCTCGCTTGGAGCGTGCTAGCCACCGACATGGACAGCGCTCAACAATGCGCTGCGGTCATCCTTAGACTCGGTGGGGCCGCTCGCGAGCACAGCTTCCAACCACCGCAATTCTAGTTCCTCCTCCGCCTCCTCCTCCTCCTCCTCCTCCTCCTCCCCCTCCCCGCCCCCCCTGTGCCTGTGCCTCCTCCTCCTCCTCCTCCTTCCTCATCCTCCTCCTCCTCCCGCCTGTGCCCGTGACTCCGCCCTCCCCTCTCCCCTCCCCGCCATGTGCCTCCTCCTCGCCCGCGTGGTGCGTAGGCGCGCGCATCCGTCGCGCGGGTGCCCCCGGGCGCTGGAAAAGAGAGCGGAGCCGCCCGTGGCGGCCGGGCACCGGGAGGCCGTTCATTTCTTTTGCTTGTTTTACGTCGGTGGGTCGCTGGGTCGCTCGGTTGGTTGGTCGTGCCAAGCATCGTTGGGCCCTGACATCCCCGCGTTTCGACAGCAAAATGCATGCGAACATATGATTGAATGAGCCTCCTCCCGAAAAGCTGGGGCCGCGGTTCTTGACCAATTCGCTAGAAGAAAGGCCCAGTTTGTGGAACACGTTCGCCCCTCCAGCGTGATCAACAGAACCTGGCCCAGGTTTTTGTTGCAGAAACTTCCAGGAAGCTGGCCCATATTTCTTCACTGACGATTGTCTCGATGATATTTTTCGCTGTGCGGTGGGGGGTTTTCAGCAGTTCTCGACCTCCACGGGGCTCCCTTCTGGGCCCCTTGGGCCGTCACAGGGCGGCTCAGGACGAAGAGCCAGCTCGCAGGAATATGTCCAGGCTGTGAGAAAACACGGCGTCGGATGTCTGGGGATTCCACGCTTTTGTGAAAAAAACAACATGGTGTCTGAGAAATAACATGGCGTCGGTACAACTTGGCACCGTTTTGCATTGAAGCCTGCGCTTCAGCCCCTGTGCGTGGCCGTGACGCCGCCCGCGTCCATTGCCGGGATGCGGCAGCGCGGGCAGGCTGCCCGGCTACTCCCGTCGATGTTCATCGTGGTCCTTTTCCTGCTGTCCGCGGTCGCGCTCTGTCCGTCATCTCTTCTCTTCTCTTCTCTTCTCTTCTCTTCTCTTCTCTTCTCTTCTCTTATTTTCTCTTCTCGTCTCGCCTCGTCTCGTCTCGTTCTCCTCTTCTCTTCTCTTCTCTTCTCTTCTCTTCTCTTCTCTTCTCTTCTCTTCTCTTCTCTTCTCTTATATTATCAGCTCTTCTCTTCTCTTCTCTTCTCTTCTCTTCTCTTCTCTTCTCTTCTCTTCTTTTCTCTTCTCTTCTCTTCTCTTCTTTTCTCTTCTCTTGCTGCCGGCTAATTAGTGCTTGCCGTCGCCTGGCCCACTAGAGCGGTCGTGCGGATCGCTTTGCCGCGCTGCGACAGAAAAGTCTGGGGATGATGGGCCGTACTAGAAAGGCAAAGCGAGATATGGTAGCAGATCGCCGTGACGCTGGGATCTTGCACAGGCACGGCTGGTCGTATGGCGCAGCGGCGCCCAACTGGTGAAAAGCTTGCTCCAAAAGCAGCATCGCCCCCGAGCAGCCGAAGATCGAAGGCGACGGAACGGCACATACGCACAGGACATCGGAGGGCCGCACGGATATCTTGATTCGGCGCTGGGCCCCCGTCCCCACACCCCTCGCGCCGGGGACGAGGGTGTGGGGGGGGGGGTCGCCGCCGAATTACGAAATCCGCGCGGAACTCCAACAGGCAACGTCTGTTAAGTTTCTTGCGCTGTTTTTGTTGTCGTTGTTGTTGATGCTTTTTATTGGGGGGGGGGGGTGTGTTGTTGCTGTTGTTGTTGTTGTTGTTGTTGTTGTTGTTGTTGTTGTTGTTGTTGTGTTTGCTTGTCTAGTTTTTGCTAGACAGGTTGATATCTCGCCCTCGGCGAAGGTCAGCGGAAGGTCGGCGGAAGATGGCGGAGATACAGCGTGTGGCGAAAGCCAGTCGACAGTAAGAGTGCCACCGCAGAGGTCCACGTTGGCGTGCCGAGGGCTTCTGGGGCCGTAGACGCAAGACGACGCGCACGTCTCGCCAGAGTGTTGCTACAACTTTTCGGCGTCCGGGTGCCGTTGTTCTAGGCCCGGGGTGTAAGATTCGACCCCGCCGTGCCAGCCCACCATTCTGGTTGGCGACCGTTCGAGGGTGGGAGAGCCGTGATGAGGATGAGGATGAGAGATAAGATCGAGGGCGATTATGCTGATGATCATGTTGTTGTTGATGATGGTGATGGTCATGATGGTGGTGGTGGTGGTGGTGGAGATGATGATGCTGATGATGCTGCTGCTGATGATGATGCTGATGATGATGTTGCTGGTGCTGATGGCGATGATGGTGCTGATGATGATGCTGCTGATGCTGCTGATGATGGTAGTTGCAAAGGTGATGATTGCAATGATACTTATGATGATGCTGCTGGTGATGATGGAGATAGTGATGATGATGATGATGATGATGATGATGATGATGATGATGATGATGCTGCTGATGCTGCTGATGCTCATGATGATGATGGTGATGATGATGAGGATTCTGATGAGTATGATGATGCTGCTGCTGATGGTGCTGCTGATGATGAGGCCGATGATGATGACAATGATGATGGTGTTGGTGGTGGTGGTGTTGGTGGTGATGATGCTGCTGCTGCTGCTGATGATGATGATGATGATGCTGGTGATGGTGATGGTGATGGTGATGATGGTGCGGAGGATGAGAAGAAGGAGGAGGAGGAGGAGGATCAGGAGGAAGAAGAATACTGTCACATCTGACAACTTTCGTCTGAAGTATCTGAAGAGCTCTCATGGAACTCGTTTGGGCTCCTGCGAGGCAGTATTGCGGGTCTCTTGGGGCCCTCTTGGGCCCTCTTGGGGCCCTCTTACGCCGTCCTGGGGCTCTCGTGGGCCGTCTCGGGGCTCGCGTGGCCGTATGGTGGGTGTCTGAGGGCCGTCGTGGGACTGTCTTGGCCCGTCGAAAGGGCTTCTAATGCCGTCATGGGTCCCACAGGAGGCCCTCTTGGGCCGTCTTTGGGATTTTTTTGTGCATTGTCGCCTGGAGAGCGCGAACCAGCCGTACTTTTCAGAGGATTGGGGCCTCGGGGGCGCGAACTTGTCGTGTTTTACGAAGGACTGTGGCTTCGGGCGTTCGAGCCCGTCGTGTTCTGCGCAGGACTGTGGCCTCGGGAGACGGGGCGATGCGCGTGGGCCCGCGCTTCGAGTGGGGGGGGGCGCCCTAAACGATTGCAGAACCCCTGCCAGAGAGCAGTTGGCAGTTTAGCGCGCCTCAACGCGCCACCGGGCACGGTGGCAGACATGACCACAAACAAAGGAGAGTGCAACACCAACGGCATCTGAAACAAGCTGGGCAGGTCAAGCACGCCGTCCCTGGGGAATGGATCGAGAGCTCTGGGGCGCGCGGGCTGAACAGTCCACGACGCCTGCGATCTGGGGCTGAGGATGCGCCTGGGCGCCCGCGGACATGCCGGCCGACCTCTGCCGACGCCTTCGGGGCGCCCAGGGCTGGCGCTTCGGCGGCACGGCTCCGGACTCGGCCCGCCTGGGTGTCCTCGCGCTCGCTCTCCTCCGACCGCCGCCCGCGCCCGACAGCTCGTCCGGCGGCGCGCAGAGGGCTCGGGAGGCCTCCGGCCGTCTGGGGAGCCTGCGGAGCCTGCCTTCTCCGCAGCTGCAGAGGGCCTCTCAGAGGGCCTCTCGGTGGGCCCAGGGCGCTTCTGAGAAGCCCCGCCGCCTCGTGGAGCGGGCCTGCCGCCTCTCGCTGCCTTCTCCGCGGCGCGCCGCCGATGCGCGGGCGCGTGCCTCGAGCCCAGGGCCTCCGCATGCTCCCTGCGCAGTCGGCGGCGCCGCCGGGCACGGCGGCCGCCCCCGCCGCCGCGCTGGCGCGGCGGTGCCCGACGCCTCCGCCGTGTCTTGTGGCGCTTCCGACGCCGCGCGGCGCTGGCGCGCGGCGGGCTTGGGTGGCGCCCCGCAGCGCCCGTGGCAGGCGGCAGGGCGGGGCGTGGTGCCCCTCCCGCGCAGCAGGGCAAGCGCTCGCGGCAGCGGTAGCGCGCCCCCTCGGGGCTCTGCGGTATGAGGCGCCAGGGCGAGCTGGTGCAGGTGGTCCCTGGGGCAGCGCCGCCGACTTGGAGCGCCTCGCGGCGTAGCGCCTCGCGCAGGACCTCGCGCAGCTCCCGGAGGCCCCGGATGGACCGAGGCCATGCTGGGCGCCCGCGGCTACGCGTGGCGCCTCGTAAAGTAAGCTGTTCTCGGGCGCGCGGGCTTGCCGTGCGAAGTGGTGCTCCTCGTTGCGGAGAGGGGGATCGGGCTCCTCGCCTCGCCCGACGTGGTCCATGTTGGCACGGTGGGGTGGCGAGAGCCCTGGCTCTGGACGGCTGCCCTCATGCTCGTCGAGCCTGGGCTTTCCGCCCTGGACTGCTCTTCGCTTGGGGTATCTCCACGGGGCCTTGGGCCCTCGGCGGAGGGGCTCGTGCTCTTGGCCTGCGTTCGCGTGGCCGGTTGCAGACATCATGTTGCATCTCGCATCTCGCATTGCCCTCGCCACCAGGAGGTCCTTGCTGCAAGGATGTCGCCGATCCCCTTCAGCGCGACGGGCAGTGCACCCAGCGTTCATATCACGATCGTCGGCAGCCGAGCTCAGCTGCTAGCTGTTTGTCCCGAACGCCGTTGCCGTCTTGCGCTGGTCATGAAGACAACTCGCCTCTTTGTGCTGGCCCAGCGTTTCTTCAGTAGCTTCGAGGAAAGCGGCCCAGCTCCCAGGGCACCCTGCGCATGCACGCTCATCGCTGGCTCGGCCCCTGCCCAGGACTTTGCTCGGACGTCGACCCAGGTTCTCGGGGCAGCGTCTTCTTTTCTCATAGCCCTTGCTGCAGAGGGTACGTTTTCTTCCCAACCCTCCTGCGTTGGGTTCTCGTTCTGAATAGAGCACTGCTCGCGCGTCTCCTTCCTTCCCGCCCCCCCCCCGTCCCTCTCTTCCCCTTTGCCCTTGACCTCGCCATCCCTGGGGGGCTGCGATCTGTGAAACTGTCGCCACTTTCGAGGCCTGCTGGGGGTCCCAGCACAGTGGGTACCCACCGCAGATTCAAATTAGACCTCGCCATCCCTGGGGGGCTGCGATCTGTGAAACTGTCGCCACTTTCGAGGCCTGCTGGGGGGCCCAGCACAGTGGGTACACACGGCGGACTCAAATGGGACCTCGCCATCCCTGGGGGGCTGCGATCTGTGAAACTGTCGCCACTTTCGAGGCCTGCTGGGGGGCCCAGCACAGTGGGTACACACGGCGGATTCAAATTGGACCTCGCCATCCCTGGGGGGCTGCGATCTGTGAAACTGTCGCCACTTTCGAGGCCTGCTGGGGGGCCCAGCACAGTGGGTACCCACCGCAGATTCAAATTAGACCTCGCCATCCCTGGGGGGCTGCGATCTGTGAAACTGTCGCCACTTTCGAGGCCTGCTGGGGGGCCCAGCACAGTGGGTACCCACCGCAGATTCAAATTAGACCTCGCCATCCCTGGGGGGCTGCGATCTGTGAAACTGTCGCCACTTTCGAGGCCTGCTGGGGGGCCCAGCACAGTGGGTACACACGGCGGATTGAAATTGGACCTCGCCATCCCTGGGGGGCTGCGATCTGTGAAACTGTCGCCACTTTCGAGGCCTGCTGGGGGGCCCAGCACAGTGGGTACACACGGCGGATCAAATTAGGACCTCGCCATCCCTGGGGGGCTGCGATCTGTGAAACTGTCGCCACTTTCGAGGCCTGCTGGGGGGCCCAGCACAGTGGGTACGCCACGGGCGGATTCAAATTAGACCTCGCCATCCCTGGGGGGCTGCGATCTGTGAAACTGTCGCCACTTTCGAGGCCTGCTGGGGGGCCCAGCACAGTGACCCACACGCAGATTCAAATTAGACCTCGCCATCCCTGGGGGGCTGCGATCTGTGAAACTGTCGCCACTTTCGAGGCCTGCTGGGGGGCCCAGCACAGTGGGTACCCACCGCAGATTCAAATTAGACCTCGCCATCCCTGGGGGGCTGCGATCTGTGAAACTGTCGCCACTTTCGAGGCCTGCTGGGGGGCCCAGCACAGTGGGTACCCACCGCGGATTCAAATTAGACCTCGCCATCCCTGGGGGGCTGCGATCTGTGAAACTGTCGCCACTTTCGAGGCCTGCTGGGGGGCCCAGCACAGTGGGTACCCACGGCAGATTCAAATTAGACCTCGCCATCCCTGGGGGGCTGCGATCTGTGAAACTGTCGCCACTTTCGAGGCCTGCTGGGGGCCCAGCACAGTGGGTACGCCAAATTAGACCTCGCCATCCCTGGGGGGCTGCGATCTGTGAAACTGTCGCCACTTTCGAGGCCTGCTGGGGGGCCCAGCACAGTGGGTACCCACCGCGGATTCAAATTAGACCTCGCCATCCCTGGGGGGCTGCGATCTGTGAAACTGTCGCCACTTTCGAGGCCTGCTGGGGGGCCCAGCACAGTGGGTACCCACCGCAGATTCAAATTAGACCTCGCCATCCCTGGGGGGCTGCGATCTGTGAAACTGTCGCCACTTTCGAGGCCTGCTTGCGGGGCCCAGCACAGTGGGTACCCACGCAGATTCAAATTAGACCTCGCCATCCCTGGGGGGCTGCGATCTGTGAAACTGTCGCCACTTTCGAGGCCTGCTTGCGGGGCCCAGCACAGTGGGTACCCACACGCAGATTCAAATTAGACCTCGCCATCCCTGGGGGGCTGCGATCTGTGAAACTGTCGCCACTTTCGAGGCCTGCTGAGGGGCCCAACACAGTGGGTACCCACCGCAGATTCAAATTAGACCTCGCCATCCCTGGGGGGCTGCGATCTGTGAAACTGTCGCCACTTTCGAGGCCTGCTTGCGGGGCCCAGCACAGTGACGCCTCCCAAGTAGCTTACACATCAAGTTGATTGTCCATACAAGTTTCGGCCAACTCCTCGTTTCCATTGATACAAATGGGTTGGGTACGTCACAGGGTAATTTTCTCATAGCCCTTGCTGCAGAGGGTAGTTTAGAACAGACACTGCAGCAGGGGCCAGACTCCATCGAGGAGACGGGAGAGAAACGTGCGAGCGGGCGGGCGCAAGGCGCATTCTAGAGGGAGGGGTCAGCCAAGGGTGTCCGCGGTTCGGTCGGTGCGGCTGCGCCGCTGTCGGTTGCGCTCGGTCTGGCTAGCTTCGCTCGCTTGTCGCGTCGTTGCTGCGTCGCCGCCCCACTGCTGCCTGCTCGTGGTCCGTCTGGTCTCGGTCTCGCGGCCGCCTCGGCCGGTTCTCGCCCCTGCTCTCTCCGTGGACGGCCCCGCCGGCGCGGGTGGTGGCACAGGGGCGCTGCCGCAGCTCCTGGAGAGGGGGGACCAGACCGCCGTGGCGACCGTGTGCACGATGCTGCAGGACTCCGGCCCCGGCTGCCGCGCCCTGCCCAACTAGCGACGGCCGCAGTCGTGCCCCACGCCCTCGAGGCCTGGGCACCGAGGCGTGCTCCCGTTGGCACGAGCCGCGCGGGGGAGCCTCGCAGAGCCGCCCCTCGGTCCAGGCCGTCGCGGCCAAGGAGTCCAGGCCACGAGGCCGTGGGTACGGATGTGCTTCCCGCCAACTTTCTTGCTGTTGTCGTTGAGCTCGCACGTGTGAAGAATCATGGATCGTTATTGCTGATCCTCCCCTTCCAGTGCACATGGTATGTTTTCAAGTGAAGTGCCCCTCCCGTGGCTCGCACAATGTTTTCTTGGAAAGTCTTGAGGCTGATCCCACCTGCCTGGTGCACGTTGTTTTCTTCAATTGAAGTGCTCCTCCGGGGGCTCACACCGAGTTTTGTTACAAGGGAGAGTCTTGGTGCTCAAACTGTGCTGTCGGCCCCCGTCTGATACTTCTCAACATTTATCCGTAAGGGCTTCGCCCCATGCCGCCAGCCCCCTGTCTCGGATAATGGGAGATGCACAAGCTAAATCATGAGGTCTGGGCGCCGCCGTGAAGCAATGTCAGGATCTGTTTGTTTTTCGACCCTGACCCTACGGATCTGCGTGAGGGGTGCCACCGAATGTCAGACATGTGGCAAATCCCATGTGTTTTTGGACCCTGACCCTGCAGATCTGCTTGAGGGGTGCCACCGAATGTCAGAAATGTGGCAAATCCCTTGTGTTTTTGGAACCTGACCCTGTCGATCCGTGTGAGGGGTGCCACCGAATGTCAGAAATGTTTAAAATTCCTTGGGTTTTTGGACCCTGACCCCGCCGATCTGCGTGTTTTTGGACCCTGACCCGCCGATCTTCGTAATGGGTGCCACCGAATTTCAGAAATGTGGCAAATTCCGATGTGTTTTTGGAACCTGACCCTGTCGATCTGCGTGAGGGGTGCCACCGAATGTCAGAAATGTGGCAAATCCAATATGTTTTTGCACCTTGACTTCGCCGATCTGCATGAGGGGTGCCACCGAATGTCAGAAATGTGGCAAATCCCTTGTGTTTTTGTTCCCTGACCCCGCCGATCTGCGTGAGGGGTGCCAGCGAATTTCATACATGTGGCAAATCCCATGTGTTTTTGTTCCCTGACCCCGCCGATCTGCGTGAGGGGTGCCAGCGAATTTCATACATGTGGCAAATCCCGTGTGTTTTTAGACCCTGACCCCGCCGATCTGCGTGAGGGGTGTGAATTTTTACCCACCCCAGCATTTCAGAGCACACGCTCAGGGCGTGCTAAGCCTGCCCGTTTGGGTCTCCCCCCCCTCGCGCGGTCCATCAACAATGAACAGTAAGGAGCAAGAAGCAGAACTGTAACAGTGGAAACTGGAAGCTGCAACTGGTACAGGAAACTGCGAACCTTCGCCCTACAGCCTAGTGGCCCCACAAGGGGGCCGGCGGATTTTAAACTCAGTTGTAAGAGCGAACAGTTGTAAAATGATGGTTGTTGTTGTTGTTGTTGTTGTTGTTGTTGTTGTTGTTGTTGTTGGTGTTGGTGTTGGTGTTGGTGTTGTTGTTGTTGTCGTCGTCGTCGTCGTCGTCGTCGTCGTCGTCGTCGTCGTTGTTGTTGTTGTTGTTGTTGTTGTTGAACATTATTAATTCTAAAGAATAATTATTGTTGGGACCCCTGGTGCACGGCCCCCCTGCGCCGCCTAGGCCGCAGCTACATTTTCATCATTTTCGTGAGGAAGCCTCAGGTAATTCGATGTGATCAAGATCCGGTTGTTTTGTTCCCCCCCGCTTTCCCTTGCAAAAAACACTATAAAATGACATTTCTTGTTCTAATATAATCAAATTTCAAGAATCCCTTGCAAAAAATAAGGTAAAGTGGACATTCGCGCGCGCAAGACGAAATCCTTCCAAAAGCTTAGTGTTCGGAGCGATTTCAACATAAAAACATCAAAAAACCAATGGTTTTTCAACAAAAAAATGTCAAAATCTCATCCCGCGCGCTCTTGCGGATTCGTAGGAAACCCAACACTTTTTAAACATTTCTGTCAAACGGGCTTTTGCGAGCAACTTTTTCGAACTTCTGCGACAACGGTTGCGCACCTGCCAGGGCCATCATCCCTGTCAAATAATACCATGCGGGACACATTCGTTTTTTCTTCGCGCGCGCACGCCGTCGTCGTCGGCCGCGGGGCCCTGAATAGTAGCCACGGTCGTCCGCATGCCACGAAGTGAAGTGTCCGAACGTCATAGGGCGGGAAGCTGGGTGTGGGTGGTGGCGAAGAGTCGTTTGGAAATTTGGTAGAGCTTGAACCGGCCCCCCCACAAAGTGGGGGTATTGCCCGCCTCCTATGAAAACCCTGGCACTGGTGAGAACGGAGTGTCCCCACGTGCTAGTAATTGTTGTTGTTGTTGTTGTTGAAGATTATTACTTCTAAAGAATAATTATTGTTGGGGCCCCTGGTGCACGACCCCCCCGCCGCGCCTAGGCCGCAGCCACATTTTCATCATTTTCGTGAGGAAGTCTCAGGCAAAACGGGTTGGTCCGGATCCGGTTGTTTTGTTACGATCGGTTTTCCCTTGCAAAAAATAAGCTAAAGTGGACATTTCTTGTTCTAACATAACCAAACTTCAAGAATCCCTTGCAAAAATAAGGTAAAGTGGACATTCGCGCGCGCAAGACGAAATCCTTCCAAAACCTTAGTTTTCGTAGCGATTTTAACATAAAAATAAAAAAACATTTTTTTTTTTTTTTTTTTTTTTTTTTTTTTTTTTTTTTTTTTTTTTTTTTTTTTTTTTTTTTTAAATTTTTTTTTATTATAATGGTCAAAATTTAATCCCGCGCGCTCTTGCGGATTCGTAGGAAACCCAACACTTTTTAAACATTTCGGTCAAACGGGCTTTTGCGAGCAACTTTTTCGAACTTCTGCAACAACGGTTGCGCACCTGCCAGGGCCATCATCCCTGTCAAATAATACCATGCGGGACACATTCGTTTTTTCTTCGCGCGCGCACGCCGTCGTCGTCGGCCGCGGGGCCCTGAATAGTAGCCACGGTCGTCCGCATGCCACGAAGTGAAGTGTCCGAACGTCATAGGGCGGGAAGCTGGGTGTGGGTGGTGGCGAAGAGTCGTTTGGAAATTTGGTAGAGCTTGAACCGGCCCCCCCACAAAGTGGGGGTATTGCCCGCCTCCTATGAAAACCCTGGCACTGGTGAGAACGGAGTGTCCCCACGTGCTAGTAATTGTTGTTGTTGTTGTTGTTGTTGTTGTTGTTGTTGTTGTTGTTGTTGTTGTTGTTGAGTTTCCATCTCTAAAGCATATTTGTTGTTGATCCCCCCTCTGTGCACCTGGTATTCTTGCAATTGAAGTGTTCGGGGAAGTCTTGGTGCTCAAACTGTGTTGTCGCCCCCCGGTTTACAACAACAGCGGCTTCCACCAGATATTTCCTGACAGTTTATTTCAAACTCGCGCTCTCGCGCGGGACTTCGTCAGCATTTTGCAAAAATCGTGCTTTCGCGAAGTACTTCCTCAGAACTTATTGTTGCGCCGTGCCCCCAAGACTCAGGAATCACGCGCTCGCTTCGGAATTCTGCGCGACTTATGTGGGAATCGCGCTATCGCTTGGAACTTCCTTGCGTTTCATGTTGTAATGACGCTTCAGCGACCCGCCCGCTCGACCCTGCCGCCTGGGCCCGCCCGCCCGACCCGCCCGTTAAGGTCCGCCCGCCTCATCCGCCCGCCTGGCTTTTCCTGCAAGTCTCTCTCGTGCTTCATCCTTCTCCATCCCCCCTGTCTCTTCCTTCGTCGCTTCCTTCAAATGTTTTCGCGGCTACGCCAAGTACACGCGGCAGCTAGGAAAGATATACCCCCAAGGGGGGTGCGATCGAAGGCGAAAAGGGCGGGTATCGAGGGTTTGAGATGAACGTGTTGAATGACACGCGAGCAGATAAGAGCGAACAGTTTTTACATGATCGGTGATGCTGTTGTTGTTGTTGTTGTTGTTGTTGTTGTTGTTGTTGTTGTTGTTGTTGTTGTTGTTGTTGTTGTGTTGTTGTTGTTGTTGTTGTTGTTGTTGTTGTTGTTGTTGTTGGTGTTGTTGTTGTTGATTGTTGTTGCAGTTGTTGTTGAGGCGCCCTGGCGCTGCGCCCTGGCGCTGTCGCCTCGGCGCCAGCTACATTTTCATCGAAAATGAGGCTCGTGCTCGAGCGGCTTGGGGGGGCGCCAAAATTGCCCCCCAACAGCAACAACACTCCCGCTCGAGTTTTTTTTTGTATAATCATAATCATATATATATATATATATATATATATATATATATATATATATATATATGTATATACATATAAATAAAGCATTCAAAACCGGTGCTCTTGCTCGCCGCCGAAAACCGCCGCCCCAACAAAACCAATGCTCCCTCTAGAGACTTGTTCCCGTTTTACCTTGGACAGGCGCGCTACTCTTTCTCTCATCGGCGCCGCCCCCAGCAAAAACAACGCTCCCGCTCGAGACATCCTTTCTTCTTGTTAAACAAAACTCAGAGCCGGTTCTCTTGCTCGCCACCGAAAACCGCCGCCCCAACAAAACCACCGCTCCCGCCCGAGACTTCCTCCCGTTTTACCATGGACTGGCGCCCTACTCTCTTTTGAATTGGCGCCGCCCCTAGCAAAAACAACGCTCCCGCTCGAGGCTTCTTCGTTTTTTCCTGAGGACGGTGATGCTCCTCGCCGCCGACAGCTCCCGTCCCTACAAAACCGCGGCTCCCGCTCGAGGTTTTTTCCCTTCATACTCAAGGCGGTGCTCCTCCTCGCCGCCGACGACCGCCGTCCCAATAGAACCAGCGCTCCCGCTCGAGACTTCGTTTTGTTTTACGCTGGACTAGCGCCCTGTTCTCTTCTGCAGTGGCGCCGCTCCCAGCAACAGCAGCACCTCTGCTCGAGACTTCCTCACTTTCTATTCGGGGCCAGGTCCTTGCCTCGCCGCCGACAGCC